TTGAGGGAAGCTGAAGGTCCAGAACTGACCTGTTGGACCACACTGACCCTCTGTTGTCCTTGCAGGGTCGCACCGTCATCATCGAGCAGAGCTGGGGAAGCCCGAAGGTCACCAAGGACGGCGTGACGGTGGCCAAGAGCATCGACCTCAAGGACAAGTACAAGAACATCGGCGCCAAGCTGGTGCAGGACGTTGCCAACAACACCAACGAGGAGGCCGGCGACGGCACCACCACGGCCACCGTGCTGGCCCGGGCCATCGCCAAGGAGGGCTTCGACACCATCAGCAAGGGAGCCAACCCCGTGGAGATCCGCCGCGGCGTCATGATGGCCGTGGAAACCATCATCAATGAGCTGAAGAAGCTGTCAAAGCCGGTCACCACCCCCGAGGAGATCGCTCAGGTGTGAAGCTGTTGCATTTGTTGGTTCTGCTGCCTGCAGGTGGACAGAACATCCAGAATAACCCGTCTGTGGTCTTTCAGGTCGCTACGATCTCGGCCAACGGAGACGTGGAGATCGGAACCATCATCTCCAACGCCATGAAGAAAGTCGGACGCAAAGGAGTCATCACTGTCAAGGTTGGTTTCACTTCCAGCTGGAGAGACTCCAGCCAGCTTTTAATGTCTGGATATCAGAGTGAAAGCTGTAAATGTTCTGTTTGACCTGCGTTCAGGACGGGAAGACGCTGCACGATGAGCTGGAGATCATCGAGGGAATGAAGTTTGACCGTGGATACATCTCACCGTATTTCATCAACACCGCCAAAGGTACGACTGCACGGACCGTTGTTTACGGCGGTGGGACCGTTTACTGGGCCTCTGTTGTTTTGTTGTGAATCCAGAAATTTTCAGTTTACTCAGATACTTGACAAAGAAAAGGAGCAAATCTTTCTTTGAGAGGCTGAAATCTGTAAATATTTGCAGCAATATCATAGACGTAAATTCAGAGTATTTTCCGCTCCAGCTGTGTTAATGAAGACACCGTCCTAGCCTCGGCAGTTTGGCCTTTAGCTCAAATCACTAAACCTTTGCTGCCATCTCTCATAACATCACCTAGATGTGAAGTTTTCTGCCGTTAAACACGGACCTGGACTCTGTTTGAACGCCAGGTCTCGTCCCAAGTTTCTGACGGAGCGTCCTGTTGGAGTCGTCTCGTGTTAAACCAGTTTCTGTGTTTCAGGTCAGAAGTGTGAGTTCCAGGACGCCTACCTGCTGCTCAGCGAGAAGAAGATCTCCAGCGTCCAGAGCATCGTTCCAGCTCTGGAGATCGCCAACCAGCACCGCAAACCGCTGGTCATCGTGGCCGAAGACGTGGACGGAGAAGCTCTGAGCACTTTGGTCCTCAACAGGTCCGTTGTTTGTTATAACTGATCCTCCAAACGGTTTGTGGACGTTCCTGTCTCATGTTTCTTCAACATAAAGTCCTGCAGCTCTGTGGAAGGAGAAGGAGAGAGAACTCAGAGTTGTCTTCTGTTAGAACCATGGAAACCGAGAACAAAAAAAGTTAAATGACTTGTTTAATTTCCAGAAAATTAGAAAACCTGGAATTAACACGTAGAACATTTTTTCTAATGTCCAGAGAAAAAGAAACTGGAGCTCAGCTGAACGGTCAGAACGTCTCAGAACTGTTGGTTAGTCTGTCATGATCTTCAGCTGTCCTGAGGAGCTCAGACGTTTCAGTCTTTTACCCGATATGTTGAGAGGAAACTATTTATTTTTGTTGAATAAGATGAAGCTATAATTTTAAGTTCAGATCTGGTGAGTTGAACAGAACGACGTGTCCCTGATGAATCGTTCCAGGCCATTGAAATGACGTTTCTTTCTATTTGTACAGTTTTTGTTTCTGTTAAATTAAGTCCTAATCTGCCTTTCAAACCTGTCTGCTGCTCAGAGGGTTAAACCAGTTAAATGCAGCATCGCATCACCCTGAACCCAGAGTCTGAACCAGCACTTGATGTTTCTGCCCTGCAGGCTGAAGGTGGGTCTCCAGGTGGTGGCGGTGAAGGCTCCAGGCTTCGGAGACAACAGGAAGAACCAGCTGAAGGACATGGCCGTGGCCACCGGAGGCACTGTAGGTCCATCTTCACTCTGCAGCAGCTCTGGGCTTCTACTGTGGAGCTCCAGCTCAGTGTTTGGGTTCTTCTGTCTTGCAGGTGTTCGGAGACGAGGCTCTGGGTTTGGCTCTGGAGGACATTCAGGCTCACGACTTCGGGAAGGTCGGCGAAGTCCAGATCACGAAGGATGACACGCTGCTGCTGAGAGGCGGCGGCAGCCCGGCCGAGGTGGAGAAACGGGCCGCGGAGATCGTGGAGCAGCTGGACAGCACCACCAGCGACTACGAGAAGGAGAAGCTGAACGAGCGTCTGGCCAAGCTGTCTGACGGAGTCGCCGTGCTCAAGGTTCTGCTCGGTTCTGGTCCATAGTCAGCAGGTTTCCTGCAGAGACCCAAAGCTTTAACACCTGTTCTCCTCTTCAGGTTGGAGGAACCAGCGACGTGGAGGTGAACGAGAAGAAGGACCGGGTGACGGACGCTCTGAACGCCACCAGAGCCGCCGTGGAGGAAGGCATCGTCCCCGGAGGAGGCTGCGCTCTGCTGCGCTGCATCCCGTCGCTGGACGCCCTGAAAACGGCCAACTCGGACCAGAAGATCGGTGGGTGGAGCTGCAGCGCGTAGAGGAACCTCCTGGGTCGTGGTTCAGCAGCTCACTGAGTCTGTCTTTATCCCTCCAGGTGTGGACATCATCAGACGGGCGCTGCGTATTCCTGCCATGACCATCGCCAAGAACGCCGGTGTGGAGGGATCCCTGGTGGTGGAGAAGATCCTGCAGGGATCTGCTGAGCTCGGCTACGACGCCATGCAGGGAGAATACGTGAACATGGTGGAGAAGGGCATCATCGACCCCACAAAGGTACAGACCGTCAGTCGGTTAAATTAATGATGTGAAGCAGCTCCAGGTTCTGTTTAATTTAACTATGTCGACTTCAGATGTGTTTCCTCAGTCGGTCCACACACTCAGAAGATCCAACAGGAAATACCATCAAACCATTTTACAGTTTCTTCAAAAATGTCCAGAGTCTGGAGGCACTTTGAGCTTCTGTTCCTTTGATTTGTAAAAGGATAAAACTCCGACATGATTATTTAAACTGGACCTACGTTTTCATTTTGATCTCACAGAACTGAAGGTCTTTATTTGGGCTTCTTTCATATTTATTTATATGAAGTGACTCCTGCAGTTATTCTCATTACATTTGGATCAGACCTTCAGTTTAACCTCCTGCACCCCAGAACCAGCAGGTTTCAGTGTGTAATCTTTGAAAAATCCCTAAAATAAAAGCATTTATCAGAGTCACTGTAAAAAGAATTTTAAAAAGTGAGATTTTAAACATTTTGATGATCCTTGAACTAATCATCTGTGACCTGCTGCTCAGCTGGTAAAATTAAATAATGACTTTATTCTACATGTCTCCTTTTAAATGAGTCTGACTCAGCTGAGACCAACAGTCACATTTAGAGTTTGAGGTGAACTGCAGGCAGTGTTTCCTCAGAGAGACTGAGAGGAAAACCCAAACCTACTGGATCAATAAACCAGAGAACAGAGGAGCCAGTTGTTGGAGATGGAGTCAGCTGATGGTGGAACATCTTCCTACATCCATCTTTGTGTCTTTAATACAGTCGGTCAGAAATGGGCCTAAAAAATAAAATCACATTTGGCATCAAAACCGGCACAAACCAGGTGACGCTGCAGGAATTAGCCACATCCTAACCTTCTCCTCGCCCTGCAGGTGGTGAGGACGGCGCTGCTGGACGCCGCCGGAGTCGCGTCTCTGCTGTCCACCGCCGAGGCCGTCGTCACGGAGATACCGAAGGAGGAGAAGGAGATGCCGGCCGGGATGGGAGGCATGGGAGGCATGGGAGGGATGGGAGGCGGAATGGGCTTTTAAACCGTCCCGGCTCTGTACAGACTCAATGAGGGGATCCGGAGAGCCTCTCCTCCCTCAGCGACCCGACACCAACCAGCTGGAGCTCCGAGGCTGACGACCGACGGGACTGAGGAGGAGTCCACACCGGAGTCCTCCTCACTCCTCCACCTCCTCATCATGTAAAACGCTAACAGGTGAAGAACGAAACGTACGCTGGTCTTAAAGGGTCCTTCTGGTGCGTTTCAGCTGCTGCTCTTGGTGTCGGTGTGGCTGTTTCTGTGGCTCACACTCTGAATGTCTGAAGCAACAAACGTGTAAATCATTCTGCTAAGCGCTCTGCGTCCTGATCGCTCTGCAGGTTCATCCCCTGCCTGCTTTCATGTGCAGCTCAAACTAACTCTGCTGAACAGATGAATGAGCTGGACTGTAATGTGACATGGAGACAAAGCGGCGGGTGAATACGCAGCGTGATCAGGTCGGCGCCAACATGCAGGTCCGCTGAGCAGAAATGTTCAGGGGTTCTGTTTCTACTGACGATAACTCATCAGGTGTTCTGGTCGGTGTTTTGTGCATCTCGGTTTTCTTTGGAAAGCAGCAGCTGAAACGAGCCGGAGTTTCCTTTAAGGGCCCAGCAGGGCTTCAGTCGCGTCCTCATGTTTGTCATAGTGTTTTTGTTAATTCTTGTTTTGTTTTTTTTTATATATATATATGCTGTCATCAGTGATTTAATTGAATTAAAGCAGTTTTCTTACAGACTTTGAGCATTTTTCTGTTTTCTGACCACAGCTGGACTTTGAGTGCCTAAAGCAGCAGTTTGACAGATTGAATACTGTTTACTGATTGTATGTGGAGTCCTGCTGGAACTGCCAGCAGCCAGCAGGTGGCGCCACTCTGCTCTTTATTCCACACAGCCCTGATGTGTAGACTATGATTTACTGTGATCTTTTTTCTTTTTTTTTTTTGTAATGTAATAAATTCAGTTGTCCAGGTTCCCGTTTGTCACTGTTTAGTTGTGTAGCTCCCTCTGGGACGTGTCTATTTCCTGAAACACCTTTAACCACGAGGTCCATTTAGTAGCTGATCAGGATCCTTCAGTCGAACTGTCTTCATCAGGAACTCATCAGTTTTCATGCTGCGGATGTAAAATCTGACATTTATACAAACCTTTGGAAACATGTGCACCATAAAGTTCCTTTATCGTCTGTTCCAGAGCTTTCAGCGCATGATCTTCATCAGACCAGACAGTTGTTATGGAGATACAGATCATACAATTTTGTTTCACAGACGTTGGATTAAAATCTGAGTTTCATCTTAAATTTTAAAAACATATAGACAAAAAAAAAACCCAAAAAGGTCCATTTAGTAGCTGTTCAGGAGCTCTCAGTGGACCATGGTCTTCATCAGGATGCAGGTCGACAAGCTTTCGTCTTCATATTAATGCTTTTAGACCAATATGACTTCTTAATATCAGCTTAAAAGTTAAAATCCATCGTGGCCTTTGGCAGCATTTAGGAATGAAGTGGCACCACAAAGGCCATTTAGGTGTTTCCAGAGCTTTCAGCACATGATCTTCATCAGTCGGACCAGTTTTTATGGCGTTACAGATCATGTAGTTCAAATTTCTGTTTATCAGCAATTATAAAAACTTGGCGGATTTCTCCTGTTGGCTTAAAGTCTCATCATTATTTTTGGAATCATAAAAAATAAACCGCACCAAAAGGTCCGTTGAGTAGCTGCTCCTGAGCTTTCAGTCATAAATGACCTGAATCAGCAAATGCACTTTTCTGGTTGTTGTGGGGATGTATGTTTTTGACTTTACATCTGAGGTTCTACGTTCATCTCAACGTCAGGAAACGTTGAACAAAATCACTGCTGGGTCCATTGAGCAGCTCTTCTGGAGCTTTCAGTCACACGTTCTTCTTCTGTGATGCTTTGGCTTGTTTACATGTATTTTTTCCAAATTATGTGACTTTTAATCCACGTCGGCTTCAAATCGGAGTTTCAGTTTAACTTTTGAAAACCACGTTTCAGAATAGACTCCACAGGGTCCATTGAGGAGCTTTTGACCACCAGTTTTTAAGTTGTGGATTTGTTTGTTTTTGGTTTTTTTAAATCTTGGTTTAATGCTTAAATTCATCTTAATTATTTGGAAACATTTAAGAAATTCCCTCCACACACTTCATTTAGTAGCTGTTCCAGAGCTTTCAGTCTGGAGGTTTTTGTTGTTTTTTACCAGAAGTTGCAGATGTTTCATGTTCCCGTATTTACTTGAAAAAAATAAACTTTAGCTTCAACAACCAGCAGCTCCACGAGGCGACGAAGACCATGAAATGTGTTAAATAACACGTTGGATCCATTAAAGACTCTGTTTTGTCTAAAATGTGAAACTTAATGAGTATTTGAACGTTCTGGTGCGACCCTCAGGAGAACACATGACACTCTGACCTTCAGCCACGTGTCCAGACCTCTGGACCAAGCTGCTCTCACATGGCCACGTTATTTCTGTCTGCTCAGAGGGAACAAGCTGTGACGACAGAGACACCCGAGAAGGCCGGTTTGTTTTTTTTGAAAAAATATTTTATCAACCATGCAGTCGGTACATCGTTCTGAAGTCATTTACACAAAAAAAAAACTTTTCCATCCCATAAAACACACTGACACAAATCCTTGATGTTTAAAGCAGTGTACAGCTCATAGTATTTACACTCCAACACATTCCTCTAAACCTTCGTATTCAGCTTTATGATCAGCCACGATGAAGCAGTCATAAGCAGCAGTGGAAGGTGTTTCATAAAGTAACAGGACACCGGTGACATTACCGTAATATAAAGTGATTAAATGTTACGCTGCCTACAAATACTGCACAGTGGCTGCTTCGGTCAAGTGTCAACATTTGCACTCAAACTAAGTAATAAATATGATAAACGAGTATAATGTTCCTTTAAAAGTCAAGATAAATACAGTGCCGGCAGGCCGGGAGGCACTCTGGGGGTCGACAGGTGGACATGTGAAGGTTCAGGTCACTGAGACGCCTTCATGACTGACGGACAGTTTAAAGCAGAGCCCACATTCACCAAACCGCTGAAACAATCCGACTCATCAGGGAAATGAGTCTTTATTTCTATTTCAATATATGAATCAGTGTGATAAATATGAGCTCCAGCTTTCTGCCCAGTTTTGGCCCAAAAATCCCAGTCAGCAGTGGACTTGACAGCTTCCTTAGTGCTGGTACTGAGAAACCACAGCAGCCTCTACTGTGTAGCTCAGCCTGTGTGACGCCTCCTGGTGACCACCACAGAACAGTGGAGCCGCTGTAGGGAGGTGTTCTGGTGTTCTGGTACCAGGTTATAGGGACTCGGTTAACCCGCAGCCTCCTGCTTCTACCAGGTCAGAGCAGGATTTCAGCTCCACAGAGCGTTTGAAGGACGAAACAGCAGCTCAAAGGCAGAACTCCAGCTGAGTTAGTTTCAGTTTTATAACAACAATCAGGATTCTTCCAGCATAGAGGGGATTTGGGAGGTTCTGGCCTCTTTCTAAAAGAAACACTTTAAACCAGGTTTGTTTCAGATACTCAAACCACAATTAGACATTTTCGTTTATAAAATAATCAGAAATAACAGGAAACGTCTTTACTGCACACACAACGTTCACAAAGCCTGGCATTAGTTTGACAAGGCTAATGTAGCGGCTAAAGATATGTTGTTTGGACCAACATAGCTGGGAATATTAATTATGCTAACAGCTAGCATTAGTGGCTAACATAATTTTATTTATGCTAAACTGGCTGCTAACTTTGCATTATTGAGGCTATGGTAGTGGCTAGCATTAGCGTTTAGGATAACGTAGTAGCCAATTCCATACTGTTTAAGCTAATGCAGCAGCTAACAACTTGATTACGTTATGTATTGACTAACTTTATTTTTCAAGGCTAACACAGCGGCTAATGTTCTCTTGTTTAGGCTAACTAACAGCCAATAATATTTTGTTGGGACTGGTGTTACAGCACACGTTAGCTTGTTTGGGCTAACA